AAAAACTTTGGCGTGTCTTGACCTGAATCCGATTGAGATGCTGTGGCATGACCTTAAAAAGCCGACTCATGCCCGAAAACCCTGTGGCTGAATTACAGCAAAAAACAGTGGGCCACAATTCCTCCACAGCTCTATAAAAGACTCATTGCCAGTTATCACAAACACTTTCTTGCAGTTGTTTCTGCTAAGGGTGGCCAAACCAGTTATTAGGTTTAGGGGGGAATCGTTTTTTCACACAGGGCCATGTAGGGTCAGACTTTTTTTCCATTAAATAATAAACACCTTAATTTAGAAACTGCATTTTGTGTTTACTTGTGTTATCTTTGTCTAATATTTACATTTGTTTGGTTCATCTGAAACATTTAAGTGTGACAAACATATAGAAAAACAGGCAATCAGAAAGAGGGCAAAAACTTTTTCACACCACTGTAGAGTCAAAAAGATTCAAAGAACAAGAAATATGAAGCTGGAAATGAGCATAAGTGGCCAACTTTAACATTTTAAAATAGAGTAGAACATGCCGATCTGCAGAGTTAGGCTTCCCTAACCAAACACATGGTTTTAAAAATAGCAATGGTTTCATTACGATGTGGAAATGCTTAAAATAAATAACAAGACACCTCATGTTTGTCTGCATTGTGCAACTGCCAGTTGGACATGTTTTCATTTTACTCCAAAAACTGTAACTTTTAACAGAGCTTTTGATTTAGATATGCAGTTGGAATCACTGACAACATCTAAACGCTTTAGTGATTGGTGGTAGCAGGGAGCAGTGTCTGACTCTGTTTGACTATGATGCTTGCTACCACTAACTGGTAAATACGATTCAGCACTTGATGCATTGTTAGCACATGCAATTTTTATGTACAATGTACATCGGTCACAATGCTTGTAATCATTTCACATTTTTTTCACTGTTTTGGGTTGGTCAGTGTGTACGTGTGTATATAGCTGCAGCAGGGTGTATATTTAGCGGTTGACATCCAGTGCATGGGAGCTAGAGAGAGGTCTGGAACAGAGCCCAGGACTGGAGGCCAAAGGAATGGAACTGTTGATCAAAATGGAACGATTGCCGACAGCAGACACAGGGTCACATAAACATACTCCGTAAAAATACCAATTCAAAATAATATAAGCATCTCATCCAAAGATGTGTCCATCTAGCATGCCTGTTATATATGCTTGCACGAGCCAACAGATGGTTGTCAGACAAAGATGCAGCTATAAAAACAGTTTTTCGTAATCATATAAAAAGATTTGATTCTAACATGATTTAACTTTGGTGTTGTGAAGGAAGATTCTTTGTCCTGCTCTTTGCTTTCATTCCTTATCGCACTTTTGTTCTAACCTCTTACCTTTTCCATTTCTATGGCACTAGTTATGAAACTTGGAACAAGATGTTTTAAAAATTGATGCAGGCCTCGTGGTTAAATTAGTCCACAAATCAAAGTAAAAATGTAGAAATAAGGTATCTATCACTCTGTCCCCTTTTTGAGCCATTTTTTCCCCTTTTGTTAGCACATTTCTCAGTTCTGCCTTCCTTTCCATTAAAAAAAAAAAGAATTCAGAAGATGAAATTACACTTTGCTAAATTATAATGTAAGCATCACCTGAATTGTATAGCACAACTGGAAGGTAATATCTCAAGATTTTTCAGTATCAAGACATATATATTACATTTCAACCTTGTGATCTTGGATAGATGTTTATTTCGCTGGATGCACATCAGAACTTGTTTGTTCCCAGATGGAAGACGCATTGTTATTATAGTTTGTACTTGCAAGAAGTAACAAAACAGCATGTATATGTGCAATTGCAGGAGAGATGACTAGATTAAAGGTGAGATTAATTACATTTTCAATTAAATTCAATTGCATGTATATAGTGCCAAATAACAACAGTGCTTTACACTGTCAGGTAAACACCATATAATAATACAAGTGTGGTTAATTACATTTATATTCCTTTATATAATTCCTTTTTGATTGATAGCTTTTTCAGTGGGTAATTTATTTGTTCTTCACTTTATTCACTGATCCATCATTTCTTCCTGCACTGAACCCAACTTATTTTATTCAGTTAGCTCTATGTTTCACACTCTCTGACTCGCTCACACATTCAGCCACACACCCACCCACACACTACTTTCTTACAGTACAACCTTTTCATTTTGACATTCTGATACTCTGTGGCGTGGCCTTTAGCGGACAGTGAGTGCTGCAAGACCTTGATAGCCCTGTGGTTTGAGCTCTGCAAGTGAGATCATAATCATTTCTCTCTTGTCTCTAGGGT